AGACATTAAGTCAATGTTTTACCAAGCCAACTTACCTGACAGAGACGCTGACCTCCATTTTCTTTGGTGGGCAAATGGCAAGCTTGATGAACCAATAAAGGAATATAGAATGACAGTGCATCTCTTTGGAGCTAAATCCTCATCAAGTGTGGCTTCATATGCACTGAGAAGAACAGCTGAGGATCACAAGGACAAAGTGTCTTTGAAAGCAGTACAGACAGTTCTATACCACCTTTATGTAGACAACTGTCTAAAAAGTGTAGCTTCCTAAGATGATGCAATAAAACTTGTCGGTGATCTTCGCGCCTTGTGCGCCAGTGGAGGATTTAAATTAACAAAGTGGACAAGCAACAGTAGGAAAGTCCTGCTGTAGATCTCTGAAGAACACAGAGCCACAGAAGTAAAAGACCTGGATCTTGGTCATGAGGCTTTACCTGTTGAAAGAACTCTCAGAGTGCAGTGGGACACAGAAGCAGACGTGTTAATTTACACCTTCAAGCTGAAAGACAAGCCAATAAACAGAAGAGGCATTTTGTCAGTCATTAACTCCATTTTTGAGATGCATAAAGCCTACAGATTTTGTATACAGTGTTTTTGCGCAGTTGCATCATTATTAAGATGCTTTTAATTATGCATATGGCACTGTTTCTTATCTTTTGATGAAAAATGACCAAGGCGAAATGTGTTGTTCTTTTCTCATCAGGAAGTCAAGAGTATCTCCATTCAAGCAAGTCATAATTCCCAGGCTTGAGTTGACAGCGGCAGTGGTTTCAGTAAGAATGGACAGATTATTGCAGCAGGAACTACAACTTTCACAGCAACCATCTGTTTTCGGGAGGGACAGCACTACTCTGCTTAGATATATGACAGTGAATCATCACAGTTTTAAAACTTTATTGCGAACAGAGTTTCGCTGATCAGAGAAGCAACAAAAATAACTCAATTGAAGTACAGTATTTACCTTTAGCTGAAAATCCTACAGACCAAGCTAGCAGAGGCTTAAAGGCAAGGAGTTTGATGGAAGGACGAACATGGACCAAATTTCTGCTGAATGAAAATGACTGGCCAGGGCAGCCGCTGAGAAAAAGAAATTCATCAAGAAGATCCCGAATGAAAGAGATCAGCAACTGTTAATGCAGTGAAAGCTGAAGAAATTGATTATTATTGAGATTTGAATAAGCTGAAAAGATCAGTTGCCTGGATTATAAAGTTGAAAAAAGTGCTGTGGAGTTTAAAAGAAGAAAGACAGCAGTCCTCAAAAATTATCCATAACAAGGAAAAGGATCCTGAAAAGCAAAGGGTAAAGTTGCAAGTGCATATGAAGAAATTTAAATAGACTATTGAAAGGAAATCACTAACCTTAGATGATCTTGAAGCTGCTGAATCAGAAATTGTTCACTTCAGTCAAAGGCAACATTATGAGAAGGAAATCAAAATCCTTCAGAAAGGAGGACAGCTCAGTCACAATAGCCAGCTGTTCAAGCTTGACCCTGTTCTTCGGGATGGGACACTGAAGATTGGTGGAAGACTTAATAAATCTGCTCTGCCTGAAAATGCTAAACAACCTGTAATCCTTTCTAAACACAGCAAAATTTCTGAACACATCCAGAGGGATATTCATCAAAGAACTGGTCACTGTGGTGGCAAATACGTTCTGTCGATACTGCAATGCAAGTTTTGCATTCCACAAGCCAATTCAGCAATTAGAAAGATTATCAATAAATGTCATACTTGCCGCAGGATTTCTGGAAAAGCTGGAGAGAGAAGATGGCAGACTGACCCGAAGACCGCCTTCTACCAGATCAACCTCCATTTACGAACACAGGAGTTGATTACTTTGGCCCATTTGAGGTAAAACGGGGCCATTGTGTTGTGAAAAGGTATGGCATAATTTTTACCTGCCTCACTCTCAGAGCGGTACACATTGAAGTCGCAGACAGTCTTGACACAGACTCCTGCATTAACGCGTTTCGACATTTCATTTGCAGACGAGGTAAAGTTAACATCATGAGGTCAGATAATGGTAAAAACTTGGTGGCGGCTGAGAGGGAGTTAAGAGAGGGAATTCAAAACCTTGACAATGATTAAAAAGACAAGTTCAAAACAAGACAAAACAAGTTCCAACTGAGGATTGTCTTCAAACAGAAATGTGTGAAGTCGAAAGCATTATCAATGGTAGACTGCTCACAAATGTCTCAGATGACAAAAATGATGTTGAGGCTTTAATATCGAACCACCTGTTGCTGATAAGGTCACAGCCCTTACGCCTCCAAGTACCTTTAGTAAACATGATGTGTATGCAAGAAGAAGATTGAAGCAAGTTCAATACCTTGCAGATTTGTTCTGGACCAGATGGACTCGTAAATATCTTCCTCTTCTTCAAGGGTGCCAGAAAACTTGAAAGGAGATCTTGTGCTGCTGGGATAGTTCCTCTCCTCATAATTCCTGGCAAATAGGGAGGGTTGTGGAGACTTTGCTAGATTTGAGTCGATTAGTCCAAATATTATAAATAAAGACTAAAACCAGCATATTGGAAAGGCCTGTGAACAAGTTATGCCTTTTTTGAAGAGGCTTCATCTGAGTGAAGAAGCTGAAAATGTATATTCATGGACATGAAAATTAGTTTGGCTCTAACTGTTTGATAGTTTAGGTTTGTAATTGCTTAGTTCTCCCGCTACCCAATTAGGGACCGGATTATGTAAGAGCCAATTTGAGACAAATTTAGTTATAGTTTTAAAAGGGTTAAAATACAAGATTGATACATTTTTGTTGTCAAGATTATAATTTAAAAAACTCTAATATTAAAAGCATAGAATATAGAAATGCAATTTGAAATGCATATTTTTGAGCTTCCTGCATGCTGTAATTCTATACGTGTTGGTTTTTTTGTTTGCTTGCAACAGATATGCTGGAAGCAACACAGTTTTTGATCGAGTTTATATTATTAGAATGTGGATGCTCTCTTATTTTTGTTTTCTTTTATTAAACATCACAAGTTAGAGAACATTATCTGGTCTTGCGCATGTTTCAATACTTGTTGCTAGACTGTTTTTCAATGCGGCACAGAAGAAACTGAAGGAGCTGGAGTGCTGCTACAGGGAGCGACATTACAGTTCTTTGAGCTGAGTGGTAAATCACCAACTGGCAACGGCGTTCCATGTCGAGCTTTTAGCCAATCGTACAAGGAAGCAGCTGTGACGTATCACATTATTAAATTTTCTTTACAACTAATAGAGTTAACTGATAAATCTAATCCAGTCATAAGAAATGCACAAGCATCTTTCCCATACATTATCGGCACGTCCTTTTCAAATAGAGGAAAAAGAGGTTATTTAAGCTAAAACAGACTGAAAAACAGGTCTCAGGTAAATCAGCTAACAAGAACTATGGGTGCAGCCATGTTTGTTTCGCTTCAGCCTGTCACTTCTAGTTGACGCCATACACTTCACTGCACTTCATTGGTTTTGAAACATTTCTTTATTTGAGGCAACTGCCTCTTTTGGCTTCTGCAAGATGTATTTTTGGGAGTTTGTGAATTCACAAATCTCAAGACAATTCGTCGTGGTAAATAATATAAACCTCTTGATGAACTTTCCCAGCCACAGAAAATGAAGTACATCATGTAGGAATTCTACAATTTTGCATGTAAATTGAATTAGGCTACAGTTCACACTAGAAACTTTAATACAATTAAAAACTAGAATAAAATTAATCATATCCCCTCTTTGAGTTGTTAATAACTGATTCCAGTCAGTGCACAGGTCTTGATCCAGAGTTTCCTGCATTGAAGAAAAATATTTAAACCACTAGAGCATAAAGAGGAAATGCTCAGATAAAAAAGAGTAATAAAATCTTTAAACTCTATGATTTACACATTTTGCCATATTAGCTTCATTTATGGGTTATTGTTGTTCATTTGATAAAAAAGTAATTAGTTAAATTATTATGTTTAGTCAGTTAAGAGAAGCAGACAGGAAGTGCGTGTTTAAAGCCATTTAGGTGTTTCTTCACTTCACTGTTGTTTACCAAATCAATGAATCTGTGAATGACCTCATGGTCGGTTAAAAAAAACTGCAGACCTGAATTTACCTTGATCACTAACACCTGCCTTGACATAGTTACACCTATTGAGCCTGGATTTGCCTTTGTGAAACAGAAGAATTCAGGATGTGATGATTATGCTAAGTCAAACTTGGTTTCATCTCTTATCTTGATGTTTTTGAATTCTTTCTTTTGTGAAAATAGAATTCTTTCTTTTGTAAAATATGCCACTGGGTTTAAAATAATCCAAGGATAAAAGGCTGAGAGTTTCTGAAACTCTGAGCCTTAACATTAGTAAACAAAACACCCAGTCTGACCGAGTCTGATCTATTCCCCCCCCCCCTTTTCTTTACAAATATGCCCAACTTGTTTTTGTCGGACATAAAACCTTGGTAAATATCACTGAAGTTTGTGATGGTGACATGAAAAGATATGAAAAGGTTTACCTGGAGGCATGGATAACATTCTTAGGTTGTATAGCAACTAAAAAAACAAAGAAATGCCAAATGTATGTAACTTAAAAGAGGTAATACTTATATTTTATTTTAATTCGGGGAGGATAGCAGCAAATCTCAGGCAGTTGTTTATTGTGGGCTGTTTCATAGTTGTCGTTAACAGCCATTAGTCAGAAAAACGATTATGTAAAGAAGTCTCATTTACACAGGTTTGATCGGAATCTAATCAAGTTTCGAAGGCTTTACGTGAAAATAGTTCATAAGCATTCTTTTTATTATTTTTCTTGGTTTGCATGCAACAAGTTTTTTTTTGACACAAAAAATTAAAAAAAAATAATTTCCCCCTAGAACAAATTTTCCCAAATTACATAAAAAAAATTACATAACGACCCATACCGGTCTGATGGTAACTGGTATGCTTAAATCATGAGTTGTGACGTTATCCACCCATCCGGGTAAGGAGAGGGTCAAGCCCACTGCTGAAATAGGGTGGGAAGCTATAAAAGGGGAGGATTAGGCCTAACAATAGACATTAGGGAGAAACACCTGTACTGCAAAGGTAAGCAGTTGTGTGCGTTTTTTAGCTTGAAAATTCGTTTTTCAGTTTTACTCTGTGCAAATATATTTTTCCAGGTAATTATTTGCGTGTAACAATTGTAACGTTTTTTCTTCACAGATGAATTTGCTTGCAGTTGTTGCTGTTGCAGTGTGTGCTTTCACACAGAGTGCTTACGGTGCATCAGACACAATAGGTAAAACATAAAATAAATCTTATTTCTCCTTAATTATGAACGTGTATCTGTCTGAGCGTACTAATTGAATGTTTTATCTTCCAGCTTGGTGTTACCATGAAGAAAGCTGCGGTAAGTATCCGCTTTTTACCTCCACGCGCTCCAACATCCTCTTGCTGCAGAGGCTCAGTCCGCGTGCCTGCAGGTGAGAGCAAGTGGCCGACCATCGCTGCTCCGTTCTGCAACGGGACGCGTCAGTCCCCCATTAACATCGTGACGGAGAACGCAATGGAGGACGGAAACCTGACTGAGTTCACCTTCCAGGGTTATGGCAGCAGCAGCGCTTTGACAATCATTGAGAACACCGGGAAGACTGGTATGTAGGCTGTGCGCAGCATCCCGCGCGTAAACTCGGGCGGACCAAGATTCTACAGGTGCCAAGGCGCTTAGAATGTCTTGCTTAAGTGTTTTTTTTTTTTTTGTTCCCCTTTAAACACCATTTCAATATACTTTAGATGCATAATATAACAGTTTCTTTCACCCTCATCCTAAACTCCCGCTGCTTTTTGTTTTCTTATTATTTTTTTTTTCTCTCTCTGCTTCAGCGCACCTGATGCCAATTGATGGCTAAAGTCGCTAAACTTTACTCCTCTGACTTGGATGCGTTAAATTAAAGCAATCTGTAGTCAGATTTTTTTGTTTTGTGTGTGTTTTTTTTTTTTTTAGGTTATGCAAATTTGAAATTTTATTTGTTTGGAGTTTTCTCCCCATTAAGGAAGTGAAAGTTGCTATAATTGGCATGCTTGTACCATCTTGTCTGATTCAAAAGATTAAAACCGAATTAAATGTTAACAGATGAGTTGTAGGACAGGCACTTAAAAGGAAGAGAAAAGGTTGAATTTTGTCTTCAGCTGCTTGGTGTAAATTGGAATCTTTCACCCCAACAGAGGCTCCTCTGACTAAATGCAGCCTAAATCTTTTTGTATGGAGAAAAAAATGGAGCTATTTTAATTTAAAAAGAAATGGGCTTGTATATTGAGGCAAGATGAGAATAGTTGAAAGATGTATCATTGTCTTGGCTTTTTTTTTTGTACGGGAGGAGCAGATATGGCTTAAAGAAGCTAATTGAAAAAAGTTAGAAATGTCCCTTTAACTGTGTAACAGCTGTATCTACTTCCATAGATCAATTCAGTCCTGAATAGCTAGATTTTCCAAAACATGTAAATGATTGTGGCACACTGCCGTGGCAAAAAAGCACCCACACCCTCAAAATTTAGTATTTTATTGATTTCTGTTAAAGACAATGTAAATTTATTTATGATGTAATCTGCACACATGTTCTAACATTATTTAGAGTTTGAAATAATTTAGAATATCATGAAATGTTAAAATGTACTGCATTTTGAAGATCAAAAACACCTTGCTGTGAAACTGGCCCCTGTTTAGTGTCCTGCTATAAGGAAAATTGAAGAACTTCACTCCATGCGTTTGAATTCTACACAGCCGCATTCGGTGTTTGTCTCCCGTAATTCCTATAGGACAGATGTAGCTCATTGCAGTCCAAAGAAATTGTTTTATTCAGTTATTGTGCATCTTCATGGGTACTTAAAGTTTAGCGGAGTGCATTTTTAGTTCAAACCTGTATAAAAAAAAAACTCTAAAGTTAAAATGTTCTGTCTTTATGCGTAACGTTCTAGGTGAGTTTTAAATGTCAGGTAATTTTTCCATTGACTTATTTCTGGTTGCATTTTATATCTGAGTACTTTCAGAAGAGTAAAAAAGCTGGGAAGTTTAGGTAACGTTGGATGCTCTGTTCTCTATCGTGATGCAGTACACTCTAGTTCTGAGGAATCTAAAGATGATCTGTACTGAAAGGGTTTTTCAAGAAACTGAATCAATACCATCAGGGTTTTTGCATGTTTTAGATTATTTTTCTCTGCTTAATTAACTTGAGCACTCCCTAAAGTGGAATCTCCCTGAGCTGAAACTGGGTGAACAGCATTCAATGAAGACATGTGTGTTGTTTAGGATGATTGGAAACCTGAAAATAAACTTCAAAGACTTCTTAACAAGCGATTATTGGCACTCGGTGCAGATTTTCTCGTAAAAAATGCTTTAAACCACATAAGGTCTCATTTCCTCAATCATCATGCTATGAGGAAATATCTTTGCTGTTTCGAAGTATATTATGAAACTTTTCTCTGAAGATTACCAAAGGTTTATATTTTAATTCCTGCTTTTCTCCATTTCAATTTTAATTAGATTGAAGTTCAGTAAATTAACTTTTAAGCAATGCTTGAATGAAACTTGGAATCATCCTTTTTTCATTTGTTCATCTGTAGCCAACTTTTTAGATTTATACCATCTTTGATTTTTAATTCTTCCAGTCAAAGTTGGTTTAAGATCGGGGACCAAGATCTCAGGAGGAGGCCTGTCTGAGAGCTACGACAGCCTGCAGTTCCACCTTCACTGGGGAAATGGCACAGCGGTCCCTGGTTCAGAACATACTGTGGATGGCAAGCAATACCCAATGGAGGTATTTAAAATCACTCTGTAAATGCTGTAGTCTTGAGGTTTTTTTTTCTTTTCAATCTTGGCTAAAAAGTTATTTTCTTTTAATTCCTCCCATAGCTTCACATTGTCAACAGCAAATCCTCCTTAAATGGGAACACCAGTCTTGCTGTTGCTGATCCTGAAGGACTAGCTGCTCTAGGTTTCCTCATAGAGGTGAGCGCATATTACCTAACTGGTAGCATAGTTTGCTGTTCTAGATCTGCTTTATCAGCATGCTTTACCTTTTAAAGGAGCTGCCTAATACAGAAAACCAACCAGACAGCTGGAAGACCTTGGCCTCTTACTTGTCCAACATCACAGAGGCTGGTAAGATTAACCTCTTGTGGTGAAGCATGTGTTTTTTTTGTTGTTTTTTAAACTAAGAACTCATTTAAGTTGTATTTTCTTTAAGGTACCAATGCAACAGTAGCAGCTGGGATTTCTCTAGATGATCTGCTTTCAGGAGTGAACCGTACCAATTACTACCGCTACCTCGGCTCCTTGACCACCCCTGCCTGTAACGAGGCTGTGGTTTGGACTGTGTTTAAGGACCCTATCAGAGTCAGCAAAAACTTGGTAAGTGTTCTTATTGCAGGTCCTGAATTAGTCATTTCATTCTATGGTGACATTGATTTGTCAATTCTCCCTCCAGATTGACCTTTTCAGTACAACTGTGCACATCGGCAACACATCTTCGCCTCTGATGGTTAATGTGTTTCGACGTGTCCAGGCAGCACAGCCAGTCTCTACACAACCCAGGTCTGGCTCCTCAGCTCACGCCGGATACTCTCTGGCTCTGATGGGAATCAGCCTTGTCATGGGACGAGTTTAATTTGGAGCTTGGGTTTAGCTATTAATTCCCTAGTATAAAGGACTAAACAATAATGACCTCTCTCCTGCACATGGTACTATTTTTGTATTGAATCATGAAACTTGCCTGGCTTGAACAACCATGCAAAGTTGATGCATATTTAAATTTAATTTTTTTTTTGTATTTTCCTTGTCTCTTTGCACTGTAGAAACGTCTGAATGTTTTAATTGCACTTGAATTGAACCTGAAGCGATTTTTAGCTTGTGTAATGAAGGTTTAAAGTGTAACTGGTTTATGAAGGGATTATCTAAATGTCTTGTACATATCCTCCCTCTCTGGCATTAACTGCACAATGTATGAAGCTACTGGTTGAAGATGACTTTTCAATAAAATATTTATCAGTGACTTCAGCTTTTGGGAATTATATTTTCATATGCTTATCGGATGGAGTGTTTTTGTTCCCTCACCTGTAGAGGCATAATTGCATTGGTTAATGCCCAGTAGCTAATAAGAACCTGTTTAAAACTTCACAAATGAGTAAATTTTTGGATATCAAGCTTATGCTCTTTAAAAAATAATAAAAAAGCAAGCAGCTGAGGTTTTTCTCTACAGACTTGTCTGATTCTAAAAGGTATAGGGGCTGCTGTACTTGGGCCAAACTTAAGAGGTACAAATGGCTTTAATTTTTATTTTTTTGTAATACCAATTTTCCTCCACATAAGAATTGCTGAAGAGTGGAATATTTTAAAATGGGAAGCCTGTCTTTTAAACNCTTGTTGGAGTCTCGCAGCCTTCTTTATAAAAGCTAAATTCTGAAATCCAGAATAAGTCAGGCTTGACTTAACCTAAGGAGTGTATCCTGGCTCTAGCTACTGTACTTCATTCTAATTGCAGGTCTACAGCTTTCTTCAAGTGAGCATGAGGATCAGATTTACTGATCCAGATAAAGATGAACCAGAACATTCTGCAGACTGGTTTTTACAGTAATGCTCACCCAGTGATTTGTGGGGTGTTGAGGAGCAGGAGCTGCTGGCATTGCAGTGGTAGATTACAGAAATCTTTCTAGCTTATTCCAGGGTGCCCATACTACTTCAGGTTTTAATCTATGAGCTTTTATTTTATCCTGAACTCTGACACTTTTGAGGAAACTTCCACAGGTTGCCTGCTCAGGAACAGGTGGTGAAGTTTGGACTTTATCATCTTGTCCTTAAGACTAACAGTTGTGGAAAATTTTGTCTCACGGCTGTGTTATAAATTACGACTGTCTAGAGCTTGGAGGTTATGCTTGTTTGTGTAGAATAGGTTTATGAACTTTAAGAGTGGATCCTTTCAGGTTGTAACAAAGCACACAAGTTCTAAGATTGCAGCAAAGTATCTTAGTTTTTATATATATATGCATTTCTCTTGCCCTAGGCAAAGAGGGGTGTGTGACTCTGTTAGAGCGATTCCCTACCAGCCAGAGAACAAACTCTGCTTGAAAGTTGCGCAACTGAGTAAACCACTGCTTATTTTCTTATAAAAGTGTTTGGATAATGTGCACTTAACTGCAACACTGACAGGAAGGTAAGATTAGAAACTGAATTTAATTTTCTCGGAGCTTATTGTGATGTGATGCTTGTCTAATACAGCTACAGGAACTATCATACACTTTCACAGAAACTTACCTCAAACAGTGCAACTATCCCTTAAATGACATTGCCCACCTGATTATGAAGGCCATTAAAACAAATGTTACCATATTTTGAACTAAATTCAAGCAACAAACACAGTGAGATAAAAAAAGTATCATAGTTAAACATGTTTGAATTATAAAAAGAAAGGGTCTTTAAGTATATTTCACACAACTGGAAAGTTTAAATTGGAATCAATCTGTAGGATGGAAATCTCTCAATAATTGTTTCCTTTTATTTAAAGTCTATGATTACTAATATTTCATAACAGAGTCAAATAAAATACAGGGTTAATGAGAGTTGAGAAAGAGTTGACTGTGTTCCTCAGGTTAAACAGCCATCACCTGCCAAGTTTTTTTGAGGTATGAAAGTATGCCCCTGCAGCCAAGTTTGACACCACGATCTTATGATCTTCGACTAAATGGATAGGAGTTTCAGTTGAGAATCTTCAGAATGTACTTGAGGGAAACTGCCAAGCATACTGTGCATTTGTGTAATGGCTTTGGAGGGGAGTGTAGTTAGGATGACAATACCAATCACTTGTTTGGGTTAGTTGTGCAGCAGTAAATTAGATCATCCCCAACTCTGTGACACTTAAACCGTCTTTTTTATGCATCTACTGTATGTGAATACTTCATCTCACAGCTTAGCCCCTCCCTGCCAAGAGAGAGAAAAATGGTGGAGAGCGCCTGAGGCTCAGTATTATATAGTTATGAGCTACTTTTTCACTGAAAATATTCTTTTATAATAATGCGGTTAGATTGGTTTGGTTTACTGGTAGTGCTCAACACCCCCGACTAGTGGTTAATTTCACTTAAAATGCTTTCCAAACTTTTTTTCATGGTATCTACCTTGTTTTTTAAATCATCTGTTTGTCACTTAGTCTCCTACTCCATTGAAGCCCAATCATTTACACTTTAAAAAGCAGCCCAGCTTAACTTCACTGTAAAAAAAAAAGAAAAGTAGGTAAAACTCAAGATGTTAAGGCATACCCCTTCAGCAAATTCTAAAGTTTAGAACTTTAACTTAATCATTTAAGTTTCGCTTCTAAGTTTACCAATCTTAGAATTTTGTGTTATTTTTAGTTGAAATGCTGTTTTTTACCCTCCAACTTATTTGAAAGTAATGGTGACCAATTGATTAAACCACAAATAGTAAACTTTTACTTAAGATCATACTTTTTATGTAGAGCTTATTGTACCTAAGTGGGGAAATTTGTAATCTACCTTTTTATCTAACCCTGAGTTTTTAACCTTTGGTCTTTATAGTAGCTCCAAGTATCAAATGCTGTTTTCGTTAACAACTAGGCTACCCCTCAGCAGTGCCAAAACTTGATTCCTGGTACCTTAACTAAAGGTTGACTTTCAACTTAAAGGTATAGTGGAGGGTCTTCTTTTTCCGAGTGGATCATCAAAATAAGTGGTCCTCCTAATTGCCAATAATTCTGGTGAGATGTTTACATGAGGCCGTGCTTGTCCCCAATTTTTCCACTATGGTAAGTCTGACATAGTGGAAAAAATGCAAATTTTCTTGTGGAAAGTAAGCTTGTATTGATGCAAACAGCAACTTTTTAAAATAGCGTGCATAATGAGAAATGGGCTCCACACACGTTTAATATACCTTCTCTCTAGGGAGCGGATACAGGGTTGTGCATGTGCATTTTTTTTTTTTAAGTGGAGAGGGCAGATCTTTTATCACAAATTCGTAAAAATCCTTCACTATACCTTTAATACCAAAGCTAACACCAAAGCCAACTCCAAAAGTTGGTTTTCCTTCATTTCACAATAAAAATATGAAAGTAAGCTGAACTTTTACCCTTTGAAATAAACAACAAGTTAAATATATAAGTACTGGCAACTCACTTGATAAAATTAAAAATTACAACTGTCTTGGTTTTCAGAACTGACTTAATATCACTATTACTTTTCTGCCTATGTTTAACAGTTTCTCAGTGGTATACAACTTTCAGCTCAAAAACTGAAGTTTTTTTTTTTTTTTTTTACAGTGAAACAAGTTTAACGGAATACAATCTATCTCTAAGGAGAGAAGTCTAACTAATGTCTGAAATGTGTTACAATCCCCTTAAACAAATGAATACATCAAATGAGTCACTGCAGATGTGTTTCAGAGCAGACTTCTTTGTCATGATCTAGTGGAGTTCTCTTTCACTTCAATTATCTGGACTGCAGGGTGAAATCCAGCTAACACCTTGGAAATTTACTGAGGAGCTGCATAACGGGTGAATTTGTAAACACAATCCTGGATTCAAATTCCAACCTGTAGTCCCAGAGTCCAAACAATATACACCTTACATTAATGTGTCTCTTAAAACTACATTTAGGAGAGTGTCTGTGTTTGAATTGTTTTCCAACCTGTGCAAGGTGTACCCTGCCTCTGTAAGTATATTGCTGTAAACAACTGTTTCATGGGTGGAAATTTACAGGAAAAAAAAACGCAGATATTCTTTCATGCAGTTTAAACTTTTTTACAGCCAGTCACTTTAAGCAAACACTGAAGTAACTGGCTTTTTGGTTTACAACCAAGGCACAGAGTAGAGAGTTCATGAATGATGCCTGTTGCTTAACATTTTTATAAACAGCACAGGAAATAACTGCAAGTGATATATAATAAAATTTATGATGTCAAGGTGTCCTTAAAATGCAGTTAATGTTTATCATTTGTATTTTGGTGGAAATCTACATACACTTTAATGTGTACTTGCTGCAACCAAACCCTTTTACAATGACAAACATTTTACTCTTTCTTTTATTCATGAACATCTGAATAGAACAGAATTGGTGCAGTTTGTTTAATGTACTTTGGTCTTAAATCATAACCACGATAAAACAATGTGATGATTTCATATTCTTTTTCCAAGCCTGCTCTGGACTTCAGAGTAGTTGCTGGGGTGGGGGTTCTGCAGGTAAGGGCAAAGTCTGTTTAATAAACAGCAAACCAGCATTGTTTGGTCTCAAAGTAACAGGGATATAAAAAGTTCTGGAAAGTAACCTAAATTCCAAGAAAAGGGTTCAGGATATCTCAGTTAGATAATCGGGCAAAATACACAATGCACAAAAGTCCTCTTGTGAATGAGAAAAAAGAAAAAAAGAAATGCAAATAGGGAATCGCTTCTGATGGCTTTTTCTAGTATTTAAAATCATGTTCTATAGTAATTTTTTTTGCTTCGTTAAAATAAATCTTAACAATCCATCTCTAAGTATTAAATCTTTGAGATTTATTTTAAAGTTGTCCATTGCATTTTGTTGCAAACCTTTTATTTAACTTGATATAACCAAAGCATTATAAACAAAACAAGCTAATTTTGATAATTAAAGAGCACATCTTTGAGGTTTACAAACAAGCTTAGAAAGTAATAAGAAACGTGTACAAAACGTACAAAACCCTATTATATTTCATATTGTAGAAACAAAAAACATCATCAACCTTTAAATAATCTGATGAATTAATTTCTAAACAAAACATTTGAAAAGCTATATGTGGAAATCAAATGAAGACAATGCAACCAGTGCTACAACCCCACTTTTAGAAAATACTAACATCCATTGCAAACGCAAATATAAATAAACCGTGCTGTATTAACTAATATGAGTTGTGCTTGAAAGTTTGCATACCTGCCCATTAAAGACAGAAAAAAACAGCTGGCAGAAAAATAAATAGAAATTGACAAAAATAATTATCAATTAAGAAATATAAACATATACAGTATGTATATAG